AAAATGCAATACTAATCCTGAAATTACCAAAAACATTCTAACTAAAGCCTTTCTTTTAATGGTAATTCAGTGATTTCCCAGATATAGTAAATAACTTCAGAAAAGTCAAATTAGCGGGAAGCTGTTTTCCCGGTTGCATCATCCCGGCCAGCGACGGCGGAAATCGATGACTCTCGATTTTCATTCCACAAATCCTTGCATCTGGAACGATTAACGAAGCAGATTTCCTGTCCTCGCCCTACCCAGTTCTGCCCTCTTTTGGACCAAAAACACCGACGGAGTCCCCGCATCCCCTTTCCTCTCCAAGAAGCAAGATGAATTATTCGAGGCGCAGGAGTCCTCCTTCGATGGGACATCGTTTTCGGGAGCGGTGTTCAACCTCTCCACCACGATTTTCGGAGCCAGAATCATGGCGATCCCCGCCACCGTCAAGCAATTGGGCCCAATTCCTAGCGTTATAATGATCTATCGGTCGCTGTGTTAACAGAGTCGTCCATTGATTTGATCCATAAATTCAGTCCAGTCTCAAAATCCGCGACGTATCCAGGCATCGTAACCGATGCTTTCGGCGAGTCCAGCCGCACCCTTCTTCAATTCTACATCATCATCATCAACTTGGGAATGCTCATCGTCCACATGATCATCATAGGCATAACAAAATTTTGAATTTTTTTTAATTACCCCGAGCATGCCAAGTGGTAAAGCCGGTTACCGTTTGATATATGTATGTAATTGGGAAATTGAAATAGTGGTTTTTTTTTTTATTACCCTCTCATTATCCACTATTTATATTTATATTGGATCCAACTGATCCGAAATCGAACGCGTTAGACTTCATTAAAAGAAACTCTTTCAGCATCTATTTCTTCATTTACAATACTCGAACTCAAAATCTTATTTAAGAAAACCAAGCTCTTTCCATTTGGATTATAAAATAGAGGTTTTGGCTTACGGGAAAATGGTTGTACAATCTACACTGCACAAATAAAAGCGGGCAGGATCCTTAATCTGAACTATAAAATAGGATTCTCTTTAATTTATTGCTAGACTGATTGAGATGTACATCAGCATTGTGTTGGGTTTGGCTGTAGTCTTCGGGGGAATAATAACAGGAGTACCCGTTGCGAAGTTGATTGAGGGAAGCATCAAATGCCACATCTTATGCCCAAACTAGTTCATCAGGCATTGTTTTGAAAGCTTTTCACTACTTTTCCTATTTTAGTTACTGCCTACATCTGCCACCACAATGGGAAGTTTAATGATTCTGTTGGAGCAGTGGCATCAAAGCTGTTATGTTGCTACCACAAAACAGAAAAATGGTGCAGCAAGAAGGTGCATTTATGGGACAAAACGTGCAGCAATAAAGCTGCTTCAATGGAGGAAAGAAAGGCGCAGCAAACCGCTACATTATGAAAGGAAATGAAATGCAAATGCAAATGAAGGCTGCAAATTAGTCATCAAAACTGCAGCAATGTGATAGTGTTTCGATTTACCTTTTTTTTTTTGTTTTTTTTTTTGTTTTCTTTGTTTTAATTTTTGGGTTGGTTTTTTTGGGAATTCTTTACCCTTAATCATGGAAATTAGGTGAAAAATACTGTTTTTATGTTGAATTTTCTGCTATAAATGGGCGGACATGTTAATGTAAATATGAGAGAGTTGGAGAACAATTTCTCCTCTCCTCCTAATTGGCTGAATGTCTGCACCCTTCCAAGTTTATGTTCTATATCATGTTCGAAGTTCCACTCTGCTCCTACTCTCCTCCAAGTCCTCCACGTCCTCTCTCAACCACTTCTTCTTACGTCAAAAATCTAACAGCTTCTGTTTCATTTTGTCTTACTACAGCTTGCAAACTCTACAGTCTATACCAGCTTTCTAGTTCTGTTTATAATATCAGTTTATATTTTTTGTATGCTTATAAATACTGGTTCTAAATTGCATCACTGCAGCTCAAGTTTATTATGATTTCTTGTGCATCTCCATTCATAATTTCCTGCCATATTGCAGTGTGACACCTTAAATGAAACAACATATCTTGATATTAATTAATAGAAGCATGAGAAGACCAAAAAGTACTCAAGTTTGTTACTTTTTCTTTTCTTTTCTTTTCTTTTTTTCTTTTTTCACTGAGTTAAAAAAAGCTGAATGGTTGAACTACTTTGATGGCCTAAGTTGACTTGAGGGTTCAACATAAGATTAGATTTGCCAATGAGATTGTTGTTTTTATTTTGGTATAAAAATGATTTCATCTTGACAATGATATTTGCATGTAGCAATACATCATGTTTTCTGTGTGAAAGTTATCGAGATAGATTTAGCATAATGGTATGTTGATTATTTGCAACGTTGATTGTGCATTCAGTATGGCATTTTCTTTCTCCCCCTTTTTCCTGAAATAAAGGTCAGAACAATCTGCATTATTTTCCCTGTCTTAAGAAGGGTAGATTTGCTCAATTGTGTGAGCATTCTTGCCTCTGAAAATCAACTGACTACTTCTTCTCTGGATACATTTGTAGTACTCCCTAAAGAGAATGAATTGAAGGACACCAGCCAAATGAAGTCAGTAGTTTGAGACTCCCTCATGGTATGCTTAATTGTCTGTTGCTACTAGCTTCTTTGGAGTCCTTCTCTTTGGCGATCATTGTCTAGATGATGTACTTGCCAATTTTGATGGTGATCTTGGAGTTCCATGTAGCTCATTGATTGATGATATGGTTTGGGTGAGCTAGGTCCACCTGATGCTTGTTTTCCCAATCGTGTTTTGTTCCCTTCGTCTCAACCTAGATGGGCTTCTCTTTTCCTATGCCATTCCTATTGCATTTGACAATCAGAGATTCTTCCTGCTAACTGCATCTCTCATGAGTTCTATTTTGAGGGAGCCAATTTGTACCAAGTATCTGAGATGCTTTTCAATTCACCGGTGCAAGTGCTGCTGTAGCAGTTGGTTTCATCTTTCCAGCTACCATTACTCTAAGGTGAATTACTTAAAATATAATCTGCTATATTGATTTATTAAAAGGAGTGGAGCTTTCTCTTCACCTTCTTAACACTTTCATTTTCCTCTGCTATAGGGATAACAACAGAATTGCCACTAAGAACGAAAGACTAATATCTTGGAAAATGATATTTCCGGCTGTCTCATAAAGACTGGTGGCTGTGACTAGTGATATTTACAGCATTTTCAGTATTGAGCAAGTAGTTGGTGGCAAATCATGTAAAATGGCCAGTTTGCATCCTTTTGTGTGTTTTGACTGCATGTATTCATGCGGAATCTCAAATTGACCTGATTTGTAGGGGAGCAAACCAGCTTTCTATACAGTTAGTTCTCTACTTCTCTGACATTACTTTCTGTACAGTTAGTTCTCAAAGCTGACATAACAAATACTGTATCCTTAATCTCTAATCTTAAGTGGGAAATAAGCCGCAGGAAGAGCAATGCTCCAGAGTTCCAGCTCCTCACTTGAATTTTGTAGCTTTGTTTTTGTAGCTTTGTTTTTGTATAGTAATATGGGTGACAATGTCAGATTACATGGTTGTTTTGTAATACCTTAGAGTTGAAATATTCAATCTCAGATGTTTTGGGAGATTTTTGCTTGTATTCTTCTCTGTTTGTGATGTTAGGATGATACATATTCCTTTTCTTTTAATGAAAACTTCTCAAGCAATATTCCCGGAAATAAGAAAACAACTGCCTGCCTCAGATGCACAGATTCTTCTTTGTTTCTTTGATGTAAACGTGCCTGTTTCAGAGGATTCGTTGTTTTTACATGATTTGGACTTCGTTTTCTGACATATAAACATAACAGGATTGTTTGTGACTAAAGCTTAATCTAAACAACAAAAATAAACTCTAAAATTAAGTACACAAATCAAAATAAAATGCGAAATTCCATGATGAAGACGGGGATGTTGTCTTGTATGAAAACCCTATACGGTGATTGATGGGGAAGAAAAGAGTTGATGTGGTGGAGCCTCTGGTGCTGGCATTTCTACTCCAGTCTACAATTTTAGTAAGAGACTTGGAACAGCAGGGTTTGTAGGTATATATTGTCGCCATATGCAAGTTTTGCTTTATGTTTACATGATCTTTCGCATCCACAACTGAGACCCTAAAGTGTAGACAATTTTGAATTATTGTTCTATTTCTAGAATAAAAGGAAGCACATGGTTGAACAAGTTATGATTATGACAGGGAGAGGTAGGTGATTCTAAACCGAATTATTTATAGAATTACTGTATAGTACCGTATTATATATGATTTGTAAAATTTTAAGAATTTATAACATGAAAACATTTGTATAGAAAAATATTGTAATCAAATTGTTATGGAATCAAACATCAAACTTTGCACCACGGGAAAAATGGGATAAAACTTAACTAAAAGTTCAATGTCGGCAATGAATTCAGGCATTCGGTTGAATCATATGAACCAAAATACCTTTTCATCAGTCACTAATCACAAATCCTATAACTAATTAATATATTAACCCATAATTAAATCTTTTATTTATTTATTTATTTTCATGTTTCAATTAATTTGCTCAAGGCATGTGTTTCGTAAGAGTATAATATAAGTGATTAGATCCAAAACTAGTGCTTAATGCAAATGGCACTGGCCGGTTGGAACTTTTTTTTTTTAATATAGGTGATGAACTTTTCTAATCTTTTATTATATTTACGTGCCTACAAAACTTAAAATATTTTATATTTTTGAATATAGTAGAATTTAAAATCTTACTTAATCAATTTAAATGTTTTAAGATTTAGAAATGAACAATTAAATCTGAACATTCGATTCAAAATTAAAAATATTTTATTATTCTTAAAATAAAAGTTATTATTAATTCGTTGAAATTTTCTTGCTTTATTTTATGAAACTTTTAAGAAATTGTGACTTTAAAAGTTTAATAGATTAAATCCAATTATGAACTCTACCAAGTGATCCGATGGTCGGATGCTTTATTGAGGTCGTTAAGCTGTTCATCAGATTTGAAGGTTGAATCTTTAGTTGTTAACATCTAATAATAATAATTTACTAACTATTACTCTTATAAAAAAAAAAATTAAACCCAATTTTTATTCCGTAACAGTTGTTGAAGACAGCAGAATAAGCCGGTAGTAAACAAACACTCCCTTAGATGGAATACTTTGACAAATTACATTGTGGCGGAGTAGAGTTATGGCAAGCGAGATTTTGAGAGTGGAATTTTAATTGCTGAGGTGGGTAGGGTGGCGGAGATTGCGCGCTAAGATTAGCTAGGGTACGATTGCCAGCTGCCGGCGGTGGACTGTAGTGGCCAGACTGTTCATTGACCACCGCCGCTCCTCTAGCGTT